CAAAAGGTTTCAGATGGGATTTATTTTCCTTTTACCTCCTCATCTTTTTTTTTTTCTCCCATCCTCGTATTTATGCAAATGTGATTGTGGGCCGTGTACTTGCAGCCTGCCTTTAGTTGTAAATAAATCATTCGTCTCATTCTGTTCATTAATGGGCACTCAAGGAGATTCTATTAATCTGTTCATTAGGGCACTTCAAAAACAACAAAAAAATACTTATTAAAAGCAGTTCCAGCTGCGTAAGCTCGTTACTCTTGCCTTAACAATGCTTGTGGCACTCTACCAAAACCATGTGGGATAAAGAAAAAAAAGCTCATATTTGGCAATTTGGACTCTATTCTATTATCACCGGTCAACCCTTACAGGCAGTGATGAATAAATATTACTTTTGGATATGCAACGAGACATATTTGCACATCATTTACATTAAAAAGGAAAAAAAAAAGAAGCTGTAATTCTTTGCACATAATCACTTTAAATTCATTTGGAATTTTCCGCAATGCCGTTGAGGGTCTAAGGATCTTCTTTAGGAGCACTGCAGGGGGCTCAGCCATTGATCGCTACATTGATCTAGCAATGCCTGAATGACCGTAAAGGAATTAAATTGGTTTCTTGGAGGATATGCATTTTTTATCATAAGAGAGAAAGTAAAAGCTCTGATTTTGAAAAATTGGAAGTGCAGCACATGAAGAAACGCAGTAAAAATCAGAGTTTTAGGTGTTTTAGATGAGCACACCTTTTGTATTTGGAGTATGCAAGAAGAATGTGTGAATTGTGAGATTTCAGTGTAGGTCAACAGATTTGATCTTTAATCGCTGCTTATTCAGTCAGTTGAACAAAAGCTGTCTGAGATTCCTAATTTAATGCCTCTAGACTGAAATCAATAAGTGTGTTTTTCTTTGGCTGACCTCCGGGTATTTTTCCAGCACCTTACACTGCTCATCTAGATAAACATTAACAGCCGATTGCAATCTTATTTTTAGCATGTCATGATTATATAGCTGAATTTACAATCTGTGAGTTTGCGGTATGTATTGAGTTTATTCCCGGGATCCATGGTGGGAAAAAAATACTTATCACAAAAGCTTTATGGCAGTGTAAAACATTCAAATACAGCATATTTCGCCAATGTTGCGAGTGTTTTTGGTTTTTGGTGGTATACATATTATGATTTTAAAACGAAATGGGCCTCATTCATTAAACTTAAGCAGAATAGCTGTTTGTAAAACAAAACAAAAATGCTTTGTTTCATGAATAATAAACTTAAATGTCTGAAATGTTTGAGTTACTGTATATTTAAACAATGAAAATGCTATTGTCTTTGAAAAATGTTTGTAAAATACCATTATTAACTGACAAATTCAATTCAGAAATAGTTTCGATAATACTTAAATAAAAATATAAAAAATATTAAAAGTAGTTTTACGAAAAATGTATACAAAATTAAGTCCATGAATGCAAACTTTGTACGTATTTGCTCAACAAAGGTGCTATTTTCTGTGTAAATTGCTCGTAAAAACAATTTTTTTTCGTAAATTGAAAAATTTGATTAGGAATCGTGTTAATTAAAAAATAACAAAAGTTATTTTACAAACTGTTAACATAAATGCTTTATGCTCATGTTTCATGAAAGAAGCCTAATAAACACAAACCTTTGTACGTATTTAAGATGCAACTGTGTAATTTTTTGTCAAAAATAATAGGGAATTTTAGCAATAACTAACTAACTAATAACTGGAACAATCGGTTATCGGTGCCGATTAATCGGCGAAACCAATTTATCGGTCGACCTCTATTAATGCGTTTCATTCAATTCAGCATTAGATTTAAAAAAATAATCATTAAAGATAGCAGAATTATTTTTACAAACGATTTAAAAAGAAAAACTTGATAGCCATTGTATAGTAAACCTACAAAGTCACTAGCTCCAGTGTTGAAGGACATAGCTTGCCTGTTGTAAGTGCACATCAGAGCCGAGTTACACATAGCTGTGACAGTGCAAAGGGAAGCGAGCTGACATGGAAACAGCGGTGTCAGACGCACTTTAAAAGGTCAGAGATGCCTTCTCTGCCCATCTGACGTGTGTCTGGCAGCGGCCCCAGTCTGCTGTGTCTTCCCCTGCTTTGACTCGTCTGTTTGATGACCCAAATGCGCCGGGCAAAAGAGGCTCATGTGGCGACAAGGCCTTTGATGAGAACGCCTGTCAAAAAAAAAAAGACCAAATGACAGGTTTCTTTGTAGAACGGGCATGTTTGACTTGCTGGCAGATACATGAGATGTGTTAACAATGCCAAATGCATATATTGGCTACTTGGGCTTAAAAATCAGTCCTAGTATTTGAACCTGGAGACTTTACATTAGAAATTAGGTCATATAGTATTGACTGTACTGTAAATCAGTTGATATAAGGGCAGTAATGCCAAAGAGATTTGATTGGTTTTCTGAGGCTTTTGCTTTGCCGGATTTGGAAATACATTCTTTTAATTGATTTTGCACTATTGTTGCGACTAGCAGAACAAACAAGAATCTCTAGCAGTCAAAACAATCCGAAACAGATATCGATGGAGACTCCCAAAGCAGTAGAGGCGTTTCATTCACGTTATCGCTGCCTTGAGATACCGCAAGTATTATTTTCACGTCCTTAGCTGACTCGCTGTCCTTACAGGACTTCATAATCGTTTCTGTATTTTCATGACCCTTGTATAAACATTTTACATGGGTGATTTGGGAATCAAAACCATTTCTTATGTAGTTCTTCGAATGCCTGCACAGAAACAGCAGTTTGAAGAATAGTCTGACTCATTTTCATTACTTTTCCTCATTCTTGCCAACATCAGACTCAAAGAGCTCTTTTCACCTCTATGTTTAATAATTGACCGAGGAAGCCATGAGAACCAAGCAGGGTGACAATGAATGCGTTGTTGGAGCTGTTCACTTCCCATCCGAGAGCATCTCAGCGTACGTGCTCCTAACTGTGCTACACTGAACATGCTACTTAATCATGAGGGATAAATGAAGCCGTATCGCTCGACAAACAGATTAATTAACAAAAACTGTGACATTCGGTGAAGTTCACACGAGAATGACCTCTTGCGACCTAAAGTCCAGTATTGATTTCACACTGGTTGTCCGAATTACAAACTGTGAGAAACAAGTGTCAAAGTTTGAAATAACACTCAAATGACAAATGGACACTTCGTCTGACTGAACAACAACTTTTGTGACTTAAAAACAACATGAAACGGCATTTGCAACCCATTTTAATTCTATATTGTGGCATATTTCTGATATTAAATGAAAAATTGTAACAATTAAGATTATGAAAAGTTTCTTTATGACATGGTTGTTGGGGCGAATATTCTTTTCAAATATGCTTTGATTAAGTGTTCATTATGTGACTGGGACATTTTTATTCACTGGCTTTAAATATGCTAAAATATTTATTCAGATTAGGACAATTGCTACAGGACAAACACGATTTACACTACCTTATCTCACGACCAATTCGTACGAGTGATTCAAATGTGGCTAATTCGTACTAATTCATACGACCTCACTCGTACGAATTTGTACGATTTGTCTAAACCCACGTGACGGTTATGTTTAGGGGCGGGGTCAGGGGTAGGTCATTCGTACGAATTCATACGAATTGGCTAATTTGTAAAATATGTACGATTTAGCCACCTCGTAAAATTCGTACGAATTCCAGTGAGATCGGGTTGGATTTACACAGCAACCACAAAATCCGCCAAGTATTTAGCATTTTAAGGCCTGGTTTTACAGACAGGTTTTAGATTAAGCCAGGATTAGGCATTAGTTCAATTAGGACATTAAGAGCCGCGTTTCTACCGCAATTACCAGGAACTATTTTCCCAGGAACTTTTTTCATTTTTGCCCCAGACCGGTTGCTTTCTGCGTTTACACCGCGGACTAAATGACCCGAAAGAACCGGGAAGATTAGTCTGGTGACGTTGAACTGCGTGTGACTGCTCCTCCCAGTCTGCGTGTTTGTTTTGAGGTTTTTTGAGTGCGTTTTGAGTTTTAAGTATGGAGGAGGAGATTCAAGCTTTTGTGTGCGATCTATTGGTTTACTAACGAGGTAATTAACAAAACGGCAGAAAATAGACAAGCACTAATACTAAAGCGTATTCAGAAAGCTCGTAATGCTAGATATAGATAACGTTTGTTCTCAGCTATAGCGGACCGTGAGATGGATCGGGCAGAAGGAACAAGATTGGTAAGAGCCAAGGGTAACACTTTATTTCGATAGTCCACTTTAGACATTCTACTAACTATAAGTAACTTTTCAACTACATGTCAACTAACTGTCATTAGAGTATTAGTAGACTGTCAGCTTAATATCTGCTAACACTTTATTTTGTTGGTCACCCAACACATATTCAACTGACTCTAAGTAACTTGGTGACTACAAGTAAACTTATTCTCCTAACCCAAAGCCTTACACCTAACAGTCTACTGACAGTCTACCATAATATACTAATACTCTTATGAGAGTTAGTTGACACGTAGTTGAAAAGTTACTTATAATTAGTAGAACTATCGAAATAAAGTGTAACCGAACCAAGAAGCTCAACCAATCAGCATGTTCTGCACACAAGTCCCACCCCGAAAGTTCCTGAACTCTGAAAAAGTACTACCTCGCCAGCAGGGACTTTCTGGGGGGGACATTTTTTACCCGGAACTTCACTTAGACCCTGGTTTCTGCGGTGTAAACACACCAAGTACCACCCCAAAAGTTCCTAGTTAGGGAAAACAATGGCACTTTAAACTGATTTTTAAAGAAATGTCTTAAAACAGCTCAAACATGCATTTTAGTCTGAGATTATGCTTAAGCCTCATCTGTGAAAAAGTTCAATTAAGGTTCAATTCAAAACTGAAGTGTGTTGAATCAATGTTCACCTGTTTACCCAAATTACTACTTCTAGCTGAAGGTTATAAAGTATCTACGCATTCTTACACATTTGTTGGTCTCTCCTCAGGTGGACGACCAAATGAAGCTTCTCCAGAACTGTTGGAGTGAACTCCTCATCCTGGACCACATTTTCCGTCAGGTGATCCACGCCAAAGAGGGCTCCATCCTCCTGGTGACAGGGCAACAGGTGAGTGTACGCTCCAGTCTCCATTCCTCCCCCTAGATCTCATCAAGCCTTTTTGCCAGTGTGGATCAACATCCTTTAAAGCTTCATCGACTGCCCCGGCCACTCCATTAAAAATAGATTACGCTTAGATATAAACTAATGTGGCCAGAATAATCAATTGTACACTTCTTATCAAGTGCGTGGCGAACGAATAAATAAAATGGTTGGTTAAGCATGCACGAGTCATCGTGGTGAAGAAGGGATGAGAGACACAGAGAGAGACGGACGAGGAGGGAAAAGCAGAAGATATGTATGATTTACCTCAGTGGTCTCTGAGGAACAGCGCTGGACGGACGCCTCAGGCTCAGCTGAAGTTTTCTGCACACGAGGACCTTTAATTCCGTCTCCGGCTCCAGCACATGCACACACACACACACACACTTCCAGAAGATGTTTAAACTGCTTATAAATAAATATGCTTCTGTCTGCCTGTCAGTAAGGCATGAGTTTAATTTTTAATTCTATGTTTTACCTCCTCCCTCTCCTGCTCAACAAAGTGATCTCCAACTGTAGTGACAGCTCAAACACAGGGACTCGGGAACGGCAGAACCTTTCCAAACAGAAGTGAATTGTAGGTAATAAATGATATGATAAATATGACAGAGATATGGAGAGATCATCTTAGGATAAGAGCGAAGTTGGAGAACTGATATCTGTTACTTTTCATAGCCGTGACGCATGCTCTGGTGAATTTTACAGCGAACAATGCGAGTTCGAGTATAGTCAACTATAAGGGTGCTTTCGCATCTGTAGTTCGGTTCATTTGGTCCGGACCAAGGGCGAAAAATGATACTTTGTAGCATTTTTCAGGGGTTTTAGTTCGTTTTCACACCACACTGATTGCTCTGGTCTGAATCAGTTGACGAGTTCTCTAGGAAATCACAACTGAAAACAGACTCAAAGTCTACTTGAGGTCATGATTTGATTCGTTTGGTTGGTGTGAAAGTGGTGTCTAGCCTCCTGAGCCAACCTCTGAGCAATACAATCTGAGCAGGTGTGTGACGTGCCACATCTGGAGATCTTTGAGAGCTCACCGTGTCGTCTGGATTGCGAGTGCTCTGCGTAGCGTCTCTCTCTGTGTTTGATTAGCGAGGTCTGACGGAGGGCTGGGGGTAGGGCGGAGGACCTTGTTTGCATATTTTGCCTAATGAACAGCTGGTGCTGAAAAAAAGCCTTTGGGGAGGGAGAAGGCAAAGACTCAAACAGTTCATTACTTCCTATTATTCCAGATCAGACTACTGACAGCCCGGCCACACAACACACTCGCGCATGAACACAGGCTGGATTTATGCATAACAAACAAACGCTCTGCCAGTTGCCAAAGGAATATTGTAAATCAGTGGAATATAACTTCAGACGGCCTCTCAGTGTACTGGCTATTAGTAGAAATAAATTATTAGATATGTAGATTTGCATTTTTTGGGGGCTACTTGCTACAAGATGCTCTTAAAGTAGTTAAAAAACTATCAATATAAATTATATATATATATATATATATATATATATATATATATATAATAAAATGTAATTATTTTTTTATATGGAGTACAACATATTCCTCTGGATTCAAATATATATAAAAAACAGAATATCTACATACATAAAACATGTAGTTACTCCGCAAGACTTGTCTTGTTTGAGGGCATTTGTGTCATTGTTTCTCCCTGGTGTTGATATGGCAGCAAAGCACTGTGTGGGATCAGTCCTAAAATGCCTGCGACACATGACACTACATAGGCGACATCTCCCCCTCCTCTCCTTTTTGTGCTGTATCTGTCTCACAAGGTCCCAGGCCTTCAGAAGTACCCAAATTATCATAATCATATTCACACAGTGCTCAGTATTTTCAGCTTTCACTGATATTTACAATGTTCGAACGAATTAGAAAATATTACTACAGACTGCTTGCCAAGTGTCGCGTCAACACTCATTATGGAACAAAAAATGTACGTTTTCATAGTCTGTATTTTAAAAATATTTAATATTACTTTTGCTTATGTTGAATATTTTCAGTTTGCACTTTTATTTGTACACTGTAAAAAATATTGATGGTTTAACTTAAAAAAGTAAGTAACCTGGTTGCCTTAAAATTTTAAGTTCATTGAACTGGAAAAAAAGAGTTAATTCAATAAATGAAAATGATTTAATCATCAGAAAGTCAAAATTATATGTTATCTGAACTAAATAAATTATTTAAGTTGATTTGACAAAAGAAAAAATGTTGTGATAACTACACTGTAAAAAAATATTGTTGGTTTAACTTAAAAAAAGTAAGTAACCTGGGTTGCCTTAAAATTTTAAGTTGATTGAACTGGAAAAAGTGAGTTAATACAATGAAGGAGATTCATTTAATCATCAGAAACGCAAGTTATCTCAACTAAATAAATTATCATAAAGTTGATTTGACAAAAGAAAATATGTTGTGATAACAAATCATGAAAATATTTTTTACAGTGTATTAAAGGGATACTCCACTTTTTTTTGGAAATTTTACCTCAGTTTTGCCGTTTTCGAATCCATTCAGCCGATTTTCTGATATTTAGAAGAGTATCATTAACCAGAACGTTTCTGGTCTCATTGACTTCCATAGTAGGAAAAAAATATAGTATGGAAGTCAATGAGACCAGAAACTGTCTGGTTACTGATACTCTTCTAAATATCAGAAAATCGTCTGAATGGATTCAAAAACGGTAATACCCAACTGTTTAACTCTGGGGGAGTGGTAAAATGAGCCTATATCCAAAAAAAGTGGATCCCTTAATTCTTAGTGTCAATTTGTGATCCCATCCAGCTACTTTTACTTTTATCTGGTTACTAACGCTTGGGGCACTTGGTGAAATCCCAGTTAATTGACAACTTCAGTAGCTTCATATGGGCTTTCGAAGAGATTCACGGAAAAACAGCCGATGAGAAATGCACAATTCTCCAGCCAGGACTTTAAAAAATTCCACTCATCATATTTACACAATAAATAAATTCCAAACCGCCCGCGTTTTTAATTGCAAATCCAGCTCAGAGGGAGCTCTCCTTACACTTAGGAGGCCCATAGTCTACCTTCTTCCAGAAACCCTGGCGCAGTCAATTATGGTAATGAATTGTCAATAAATATAAAAATTTAATATGGCCTGCTTAGAGTGAGTGGCAGCTAAGGACTTGCCTCCAAGACAAATTTGCTGCTGCTGCAGATATTAAGTGCACCTGAAAGGGGAGGAGAGGGCCACGGGGGTCCCGCGCAGGGTTCGGCATGGTAGCCTGAGGGACCTCCAGGGGCCCCCCGCTCACTCACGCCTCGCCAACCCCCACCGCCCTCGTCTGGTGCGGGGCGCTGAGGTCCGAGGGTCTGGGCACCAGGGATGGAGAAACGTGCAGCTCTTCCCCGTTCGGTTTGATGCTGATTATCATTCAGACCTCGGCCCAGCGCACTGTCCCTGCTGTGTGGAGAGGAGCCTGGGAAGGAAAGAAAGAGGCGTATGAAACCGAGAGCTGCCAGAGATGGTTACATGCTTACCTCAGCCGGCGCTAAAAAACTCAGACTTGCAAGGTGGTGCCAAGCGCCGCCTGGCTCCAGATTGCTTGGACTTTCAAACTAAAAGGAAATTGAATTTTTGAGCAACTATGAGCACATCTTCTCAAAAATAAATTTAGGAATTGATGGCATTTCCATTTATGATCCATTTCCCTAAAATTTAACAATTGCCTCAAATTGGCTCAACAATTGGGGCGAGGCTATCTGTTTTTCCAAACAACGGTAGACAGGAAGAGTGTTCTGGAAAACAATCTTTCTTTTAATGTCACAATGATGACGTATTTCCACTGTACGTTCCAAACTTGGAATTCAATGACAGAAAACTGTGTTTCTAATACAGCTTTCCCACTTCTGACTACCGTAATCAATCTTTATTTGGACACAAAAATCCTATTTTGGTTTCCGTTCACCACTATATAAGTTCTTTCGCTTCTGAGAACCCTGGTAATGTGAAAAAGGTCCATCTTCAAATTATTAATTCCAATTATATTAATTGTAGTGTCTATACCTGAGATGTTTTAAACCTTCAGAGATCTGCCATGTTGCTTGTGGTCAAACCTCTATTGTTTGTGTGTGTGTGAACACTGTTGCCCCTTCTCTTTAGGTGGATTACGCCCTAATTGCCTCCCAAGCCGGAGCCACACTCAACAACCTCCTGAGTCACGCGCAGGAGATGGTGAGCAAACTGCGATCCCTCCAGCTGGACCAGAGGGAGTTCGTCTGCCTCAAGTTTCTGGTGCTGTTCAGCTTGGGTAAGTAAAGAGAAAGGGATGGAGGGGTGGAGAGAAGCGGGCTACGGCCTCTGAGCATTCTCCAAATCTCACTCGCATGCTTGCTTCCAAGGTTCTTGAGGGACCATGAGATAAGCCACAAGAGCGCTTCCTCTTGTATGATAAGACCATCATTATGAATGCCACCTCATACCCTATCCAGCCGACTTTGCTTTACCATTGATGCCAGACTAATCAGGTCTGTCTTAAACTGTTATTCTCTGAAAATCGTGTAGCTCAGAAATCTTACTCGCTCATCAATTTATTACGACAATACGTCACTAGTTAATTTATGCAAATCAGTATTTTGCTAAAACACTCTACAAATAAAGCCTTGTGTCAATGTATTCAAAAGAAAAAAATCTAAATTTTTATGGAAAATTGGCCCAAAATCACTTAAATAGAATAAATTTGTGTTTTGAGGGCAAAAAAAAAAACCAAATATCTAAATTGTAGTAATTTCCAAAATGAGTTTGGGATGAGTTTTTTATTATTGTTTCCAGCATACTTTGTGCATAAAACAATTACCATTTTGTATGTGAATTTTGGAAATTTGATTTGAATCATGTTTCCGTACAGCAATATTTATGCAATATCCTAAAACTAGCATAAAATATGTAAATAAAAAACTGGCTAAATACAATAAATGATGTTTGACGTTAGCCTGCCATATTTGAATCATGACAGAATTAAATTTTTGGGTGAATTAATTATTATTATTTATTATTAAATTAAATAAATATCTGATTTAAATAAAAATCAGATGATATACCATTCGCTTACTGGACTCACTCTACGAATTCTAGTTCAAACTTACAAAACCAAGGCCGATTTATTGGAGTTAAGAAAATCGGGAGGTCATTTGCTCCAAAGTTGCGCATGCTGAATGCATCCAGTTTGGCTTTAAAATGGTCAGAAACCTTCAAAGCTTCGCTTCTGTTAGCCCGCTGGCTTTACACCGAAGCGATCGGAGGTTCCACGGCTTACAGGTCAAGGCAACTCTTGCAGCCAATTCACAAAAGACACAAGTCTACACCATGAAAGACCAACATGAAAACACAGAACAGGGTGTCTGTTCGGCCCCGTAAGAACATGGAATATTAATACATCCGCTTCAACATCATCATATCAGTCGCGACTGTCCATCCTTTGGTTCCAGAAAAGAGAATACCATGAGCAAAGGGCGTGTGTACTTTGAACTCTAGCTGCTCCGTTTGCTGAATCCCTGAACTACCTGAAACCATGAAGCCAGGCGTAAGCATCCCCCTCCACACCCAGAGAAGACTCCTCACATCTCACCCAGACCAAAGAGCAGCACTGAGAAACTCCAGACCTCAGCCTTGCTGTGTTTATGTTGATCAGGTTAGCGTAGCTGAGGGTTTGGGGGGAATCTGGAGTGTTGGTGTAAATAATTTGTCGGAAACATCATCCATAATAAAACTCTCACCTGAGGGGAGTGTATTGCCCCAGGCACTGCCCTATGCTTGCAGCCAGCCCCACCCATGCTGTGTGCCAGGCCCTGAGAGACTAAAAGACTAAGAACTAAGCCTAGAGATCAAAGATGGCTCCGATTAATAGTATCCTGTGGGTGAGGGGTGGTGCGGCGGGGGGCTCTATGTACAGACAAGTGCATGGATGAAAAAAAAAAAACACTTTGCCAGTTGCTATTGAGAAGCCAGTCAGAGGTTAATTAAATGAAGCATGAAAATCCCATGGCGCCTTATGAAAACTACTGGAATTATGGGAGTCTCAGCCCACTGCTCACTCGTCAACATGTTTCCACTGTGGAAAATGGGGATTTTTGCACCATATCTAGTAAACGTACGTCATCAAAGTGTCTAAACCAAGCGGCAGCATTCTAATCTGAAAAATGAAGCCCCCGCGGAAGTGCGAAAAACTGCAATACATCGAAAATCCACTAGAGGCCGGTCCCAAAAGGGAGCAAATGTCCATAGACGTCTGTTTTCACAGCATAAATTCATATGTTTACAGTTCGGTCCCATGGACTTTTATTGTATTTTTCTAACTGTGAGGGGGGTGAATTTTTTTCTAACTCGTTAGTTTAGATCGTATTTAGATGTAAAATGTATGACAAATTAAGTTAACTTTGATTGACAGCTGATAACAGGCTACGCCGAGTGGAATTTGACGTCTCGGCCATGATCTGACAACATCTGTATCCATTTGTATTTTGTATTTCCAAAGATTTTCTAATATGGAGCCGCCCACACCCCCCATAAACAAGACAACTGTTCTTCACAAAGTCTATGGGTGACGTCACAGACGCTTTGTCCAGTCTATGGTCTAAACACGTTCCTCCAATGTTTCTACAATGTTCCTTGTGAAACATACACTGTAAAAAGTTATATGATCAATACATTGACAACATAATTTAAGCAATTTTCAACTTTTTTACAAGTCACAGTATACAAGATTCAACTCATTCTTTAAGCCAGTTTACTGTAATTTAAGTTCAATATCCCAGTTGATTGTACTTAAAAATTGAAAGCCACACACAAGATCACCAATCTGAGTCCTTCTGGCCTCTTACACTCTATAAACGCAGTGTCTCTGTATTGCATTTACAAATGAAGCCTGTTAACGGAAATCAAAATCGCATTTACTCACGCCGTTCCACTCCCCACTGCTCTAAGTTAGTGTCTGTTCACACTCAGCATGGCCAAACCATCGCAATTTGTCACTGTCGGGACAGCCCAGGGGGCTCTTTGTAAAGCTAAGTGTCAATAAAGAGGAGGGGAGACATGAGTTGACCCGGGAGCAGTCACTTGTCTCCTCGATTTCGCCGACCGATTGCAGTCAGCCGATCACTTCTCACGCTTTTCCGAGAGACGAAGCGTCTCTATCTTTCCCGCTGTCAGTCTCCATGTGTTGAATAGGTGCTTGGGCTCTAGCAGGAGCTGAAGGCTTTATCAATGGTTAAATAATTACGACCAAGACATTGATTTGCTCAATAGCAGGAAAGGCGCTGAAGGGTGAAAGATGTTCTTGTGGAGTTTAAGGGGGGTTGAGACGATCGTAGAGCCCACTTCTGAGTTCAATGCCAACATTTCAGATGGAGATACATCTACGATTGTCTCGCCCACCAACCTAACATTTTACCAGCTGTCTTTAAATGCCATATTAAAATGGTGGTAGTTTCAGAAAAAATATGACATAGGTCAACTCAAGCACTCAACCAGCATGAATAGACGATTCCATTTAAATTGTATCATATTCACCCTCATGTCTTTCTAAACCTGTCTTTCTTTCTTACTCAAAACACCAGAATAGTAGTTTTTGTCCATACAGTCAAGTGGTGTTCAATGTTGTCGATTTGGACCCCATTGAGTTTCATTGTAAGGATAATAACTGAGATATTCTTCAAAAGTCACCCTGGTTTGGAATGACACGAGGATGATTATTATTGATGAAATATGAAATGATGGTTATTTTGTAGATTTCACAAGTGATTCAACGGATCACAAAACTCACAATTTGGGTCATATTATGGTTTTTGAGTCACAGATCAGATCATTTTTTTCAGATCAGCAAGAAATATTATATAAAGATAAATACAATATAGCAAAGTTACTAATAAAGTAAGGTGTAACTGTAGTATTCAGGTACAGAAATGTAAAAATTGGGCCTAAATATAAAATAAGACTGTAGTGTTCACTCTATAAATTTAATATAGATAATATTTGTTCTTTTGTAAGCTGTGTTTTGTTGTTTGATTGACATTAATGACGGACAGCAGCAGGAATTTATAGGCTGCTGTCACTTTAAGACCTAACGCAGGGATCCAATATAATGATACACATCCGATTTCTATCGGATATAACGGAGTAAAAAGGTATATGAATAAATTGACAAAATATGTTTTTATATTGGTTAAAATCCTAAAAATCAACTTTTTTCAAGTCAAAGAATACAAGATTCAACTCATTTTTTAAGCCACTTTGACCGACAGAAAACGTCTTATTGGAAAACACTATTGACAACTGACCTTTTTTTTATCATGAAATGAATCATTCATCAGATGCCTTAGAAATGAAACCGAATATTCAATACCATTCAATATTAAACTATGCAAACTTGTATTTCCATCAACAGTATTTCTAAGTTGAAATGATTGACATAATTGACATTTTCTCGTCTCCTCTTCGCTCTCGTCAAAATGTGTTATCCAGCCGTGGCAACAACACTTGACTATGAGATGGGATGCATCTGAAGTCCCTGAGGCTTGGCTCTGGGGGTCTCGTCCAAACACCTCTGAACAACACACCATACAGTCACGGCACGCAGCTCTTTCCCCTTTACTCTTGCTTTAAAGCAGCAAAAAAGGCTGTTCCCACATAGGTAAGCTCTAATTAAGCCAGCCCGTCTTGTTTCCTTGATCTGAATCGATACGTCTACCCTTGTGCAAAGAGAGGGGAGATCAGTAATGTATGCGCAAAGACTCATAACAGGTGCAAATATTAATTTCCTGAAACAGACCAAATAATTTGGAAGTCGGTTGGGATTGATTAACATTCGAGGGCTGGGACGGTTCAATATTTACGCCTCGGAGACCCCTAGCCGGGGCCAAATAATGGTGCATAAAACTGCAGCTACGTCTTAATTAAATGCAAGATAATAGGGGCAGGTTTTTCTTGTGAGCCAAGCAGTTTGGCACTGACGGGCTGTAAGTCATGTGGAAGATGTGAGGCCCGGGTCTAATCAATACACATATAAAGCAAGTGCATGTGTGCGCGGCGGACACCCTTTGAAAAAACACGGATGTGGCCATGCACGTGTACAATGTGTATGAAGACATTTGTTTTCAATGATTTGTCACCAAACACGCTCATTTAGATTTCGCTCAAAGGTGAAAAACCTTCCATTCAATCCTGAGTGCTCTGATATTTTACAAATCTTGAGCAGAGGAGGAAGTGGCCCATGCAATGACCCTAATATTTAAGGGTTATTTCTTTTGCCCACAA